GTTGATGGCTGCCACAAGCGGCCTTCAGCTTGAAAAACCAACCCCTGTTGTAAAAGTTTCGTTCTGCATCATTGCTTGACACATCTTTGGGATCCCTTAGTGGCGCACCGTGACCCGGAGCAGAGATTCTTGCAGCTTCGTGCCAGCGCTGAAGTTCTGGGTGCTTTGGGGCTTCGAGGCCTTGGGGTATCGAGGCTATTTCGAGGACTGCTTCTTGCATTCTTTGATGCTTTTGGCGTCTTAGCGTTTGTATGGGGGTTTACTGCTGCTTGGAGCCCCCCTTGGCAACTGCTCCCCAAGGAATGAATGCATCAGCGCGTCTGTTATGAGTATCAAGAGTAGTACTTGTAATTTTGTATTGTATGGACCGCATTGAGATCTGCGGGACATAAGGACTTGTTGATTGTAGTGAGTGCAGGATCATTGCAGGAGCATGCGCTGCTTGACTCTGCAAACGCCAGGCGTTGCCTATCACCGTGTCAGGCTGTGTTCATGACAAGTACCGCAAAGATGCCATCCAAACCGAATCCTCGCAGCAAAACCCCGAAGACTTCAGGAGATGTTCGGCATCATCGACTGGGCAGCCGAAGAGCGACAAGGCCTTCAGGAAGCCGAGGCCAGGGTGCTTTGCTCAGCCCAGCTGTCGTGAAAGTCTCAGAGGCCTGGATGCAAGCAGACACAACAAAAAAAGGGTGCTTGGGGTGCCCTTTGAGCCGCTGCGCTCAGAGGCATCTCCTCGCTTGTTGTTTGAGCCAAAGGCCAAAGCGATTCAGATTTGGCGGGTCTTCTGGCATGTCGTGCTCGGCCTAAGAACTTGATTTTGCAGGTGGAGGTCACGCAATTGGACAACAGCAAGCAGCCGCTGCAGTTGTCCCACGCTGCAGAGGACCCGCAATGGGGGGGGCTTCTTTCGGAGTCTGACGAGGGACCGATGTTCAACTTCAGGTGCTCGAGACTCGCGAGAGTGCTTACAGTATGTGGGCAGGACCGATTCGAGGCCAAAGGCCTTGCAGAAGGCTGCGTTGCAGTGCCCCTCGGCAAAGATCTGACCTGACTCACCTGGAAGCCGCATGCTTTCTGGTGCGTGAGAATACGAAAGGGCTTGGTTAGATTAGGTGTTCGGGGCTTGAGGGTCGAGGGCTTTTTAGGGCGCTCGTCCCCCGTTCCTGTTGTGCTTCGCAGCTGGGGGTCCCAAGGAAAGTCAATTGCCAGGGGTATGAGGCCGAGGACACGGAAGCCGATGCTGGCAAAGGGTCGACTGCACTGTTAACCTGCTTGTGAGGTCGGGAGACTGAATCCACTGCTGCGGGTTTCTGTTGCAGAAACTGCATCCGCTACAGTAAGTGAGTGCTTGCATTGCAAGGGCGTCTTCCAGCGGATGCACATGGCAAAAACACAACATTGCCAGGAGAGAACCGTGATGTTGCTGGTTGGTCCGAATCAGTTCTTCTTCCCCATGACGGCCAGTTGCCGAATCGCCTCTTAAGGCATGGCTTGCTGCAAGTTGGCGAGGGAGACGTGGTGCCTGTTTGGGTTGCGGGTTGCATGCTTTGTCGATATCATGGGGTTTTCGACATGTACACCACCAGGCCGAACTGCTTCGTGAGAGTGTCTCGATTCGACCGTGTTGGGCTTCGACTTTGCCCTTCCCGATTCCCAGCCTAGCCACCTAGTAGCCGCCTAGCCCTGAAGACTGCCGCGAGGTCTTGTTGTCCTTCTCACGGGGGCTGGTTGTTCAAGTCAATAGAGCGATCCGACGGTTGACTGAATCCACACACCGGAGAATGGTATTCCAGAAAACTCCGGGGCCACGAGTGACCCGTCGATGCCTCGATCCAAGATGAGAGTCCCTTTTTGGGTGGTACTTTTAGGGTCGTATCTTGTCCTGTGCAGGTCATTTGGGGCATGAGGGCCATGCTGCCCAGGGGGCCGCAGGGAGGAGTTTCCGAAGGATACATGTCGGATTTGAGCAGACAGACTCTCCACGCTCTATCTCTATCAGCTTGTGCAGGGTTCCTGAATGATCTTTTCGATGTTGGGGCTTCGGTGCCGGCTATACTCAGCCTTCGGCATGAGGGAGGGCAGGCGAGTGCAATTCAGCGAGCAACCTAAGCTAGCGTTGGCAGAATCCGGCCAGAAGTGGTGAACGCACCCAACTCATCTCGCGCTCTGAAACTAGGAGCGTGTTCGTGGGTGAGCGATGCTTGCTGGCATCCCGAAAGCCCGAGTGATATCCGGCTGTCAAATTCATCGGCAGCTGCTCCGCCCACGGTTTCACAAGCTGCGGACGAGCAATGCTAGAGCTCGAAAAGCCCGGGTGTGGCAGTGTAGCAATGGGAATCGATTGGTGGAGCCGTGGTGTCGAAGTCCCGGTTGAAGCCGCCGAGCAAGTGGAAGGCAAAGCTCGGAAATGGGAGTTTAGGTTTTAGGGTCTTCGGTTCCTAGCATATGCGTAGTCCAGGTGTAAGGATCTTCGCGTCCTGGCTGCCAAGGTGTCGATGCCACAGGGCTGTGCGCCACGAGCTTATCATATCCCGACATTCATGAAGGACTTCGTGCTTTGGCGCTGAGGGGCTTATATAGTGTGCTAATTCTTGCTGTGATTTTGCCACTGGCTTATCGTTGTTGGTGCTTGCACCTGATGCGCTACAGACTAGTAGTCACCTACGAGCAATGTGCAGGAAGCCTGAATCCGACTGGTCGGAAGACTTAGACGGCGTTGCGTTGATTGGCTTGTGACTAGTGGTGACTAGTGGGTGTGGTGTGTAAGTCGTTGTTTGTTAGGTTGCTTGGCAGATGGGGCGTAGATCTATGATCTGCTTGTTTGGCGATGTTCCGATGGGCGATAGCCACTTTTATAACCCGAAGACCAGTCGTCACGAATGCTTGCCTGGCTGCCGAGCCTGTACCGTGGGGTTAGAGGTAGGTGGTTTTCGGGGAACCCAATTCTGAGCAACCCGCAGAAAGCACAACCTCGCTGCTTCTTAGGCCACAGCCGAAGAAGAAGAAGGCGCAACGCTTCGCCCGTGGGTCCTGGGAGGGATTGAACGGGGGAACTTCGCGCGGAACTTGAGTTTCGAGATTGCGATTAATGAGGCCATGTTGTTAGTCACCGAAAATAGCCCGAGGCATGATTGTGGTGAGAGTGACACAGTGCCTAGTACAGATGACTTCCTTAAATTGCTTTGCTAGGCCATATGGACCCATATAGGCCATGTAGGTGATGCTCAAGATTAAATCGATATGACGCGAACGGTGCAGGATGGGTTAAGTCATCACAGACGATTGCTGCAGGAAGTGTGCACTGGAGAACGGATCTACAAACATCCTCTTGGCAAGCGCCATTGCTATTGCTGTTCTGTGGTTCTCTAAGCTATCTTCATGTGAATTCCTGAGACAAGGAGGAGACAGGGGCCACGAGATATGAAGAGTCTTTGCGGTGCAGGGCTTGTGGCATTGCCAGGACAAGAAGGACAAGAAAGACAAGAAGAAGCAAGACAAGTCTGGCTCCCAGTGAGAATGCTGTACTCAAGCTAAAGCGTCCGGACACCGGACTTTGTTCTTCGGTCTGGCTGAGGGTCTGTTTCAGAACCTGCTAAGGAAGAAAAAAGGCAAGGACAGCAAAAAGAAGAAGAAAAGCCACTGGGTGGCACTCATCCCGCGAGTTGCTGGTCTTCCGTTGTCTCAACGACATGCAGTCCTGCGCAGCTCCTTCCGCCCCAAGGCAAGAAGAAAAAGGCAAAAAGTAGCAGCTCTTCGCCATGTGGCAGCATTTAGCCTGCAGTCTCGTGTTCCCACAGGGTGAGCCTCCCCGAGCTTGCTTGCGCCAAGCCTAGCTTAACCCTGACCTCCACAATGGGGAGACCCCGTGTTCGCCCTATACCCTAGTGACTCGACTCACTAGACCCATTGCATCTTTGGAGATGCGAGGTCCTCGTCGAGCTCATCGAGCTCTGGAGGCAGAGTAGAGCCCAGCGTGTGACCACACTCCCGCTGCTCGGAAGCCGCTAGCCTTGGGGCCCACATCTGACCCCGTCGCCAAACCCAGTGTGGTCGGGCCCGGGCCCGCAGGAAGCCCTGCAGCGAAGAAGAAGAAGGGCTGAGCAGTGAGCAGTAGATTGTAGGGCTTAGTGGCCTTCGTGGTCTTCGTGTGGAGTAGGGAGCTGCCTCAACCTGGCCGCAAAGTTGAAGCCAGGGTTTGTTCCAAATTCCAAATCTGTCTCGACCCATCGGCATCCGCCTGGCTTCTGGATTCCAAAGTGCATCTGCTCCCCGAGCCTGAGCCTCTTTATGCTAGGGTCAAGTTTGCTCTGGCAGCTTCGAGGCTCACAAGAATCGGGTCCCAGATCGGAGAACGCGAAGGCTTCAAGAAGTATACATGAGCTCAGCAGCATCTCACGGTGAAGATGCATGCCGGCAGGCCTGCAGTGAGCTGGCTCACAAGCCAAGGCGTAGATAGCCGATAGCCACGTCCAGGGTCTGAAATGCAGGAGTCACAAGAAAGGAAGAGTGATGTAAGAAATACTCCAGACCTCAGTGCATTCGCTACGTCTGAAGTCCTACGGGACACCTAAACTCCACGGATCGATGGTTTGTTGAAGTACCTCCGGCATTGCCGCCATCACTTCGTGCCACGCCAGGAGGTTGGGGGTTTCGTACCTTGGGCCAGGTGACCGGCACAGAGAGTTTCGTGAAGTTGAAACCTGGGAGCATCTAAGCAGAAAGGAGGCTTCTAGTCTAGTTGATGCTCTACTCTCTCTTACGAGAGGCCCGAGGTGCATTGCAAACTTACCTGTGCAGGTGCGGTGCCATGTATATCGGCCCATGGCAAGAATACAAGCCGGAAGCTTGAAGCCACTTGTGTGCCTTCCTTGACGGGTAGAGAGAGCTGCGTGCAACAGCCGTCGCTTGAACTTCCTTGCAGCATTGAGGTGCAAGCTGATACGCCATAGCGCCCTTTAGAAAAGACCGAACCGTTGATAGCATCAGCAGAGAGCACCATGGGCTTCCGTCTCCTTTGGTTCTTGGCGCTGGCCGATGCGCAGTCCTTCGAAGAGACCAACCTCCTTCAGTTGTTGACTCCATCACAAGAGCTCCTCTCCATCAGTTCCCCGGCTTCGGATGTTTTGGGTCGCCTTTGGGTCTTCCCTAAAGCCGTTGAAGTCCCATGGACCAAGCTTTAAAGGGCAACAAAACCAAACCTAGCTGAGGCGCCTACGGCACGGATGCAGCTCAAAGTCAGCTTCAGGGCCAGGGGCAGGCCGAAGGAACTGAGGAGGCTCAGAAGCGGCCTCACCACGACTACGCCGAGATCGAGCGCTTGGGCTTCACTTCCGCAGACGACAAGTGGAGCAACGCGCCCTTGCCACAGGAGCCCGCCAAGCCGGTAGAGGTGATTGTGACCGGACAGCACATTGAAAAGGGTTCGGGGCACAAGAAGCCTGCGAGCGGTAATAGCAAAGCTTCCCCAGCGGCAAAGTCAAAAGAAGTAAAGGCCAAGGCCAAGGCCAAGGCCAAGACCGCGGCAGCTTCCCAGTCAAAGAAGAAGAAGCAGGTGAAGAAAGAGCGAGAGCAAGCCAAGGCTCAAGTCACCCAGAAGGCAAAGGCCAAGCACGTCCAAGCCCCGGCCGCCCCGGCCGCCTCGGCCGCCCCAGCCGGCGGCGTCGCCGGCATCGACTCCGAGGCTTCGACCCAGACTGCCCAGGGCGACGCCGGGGAAGCAGAGTCTTCGGCTGTGCCGGCTGCCGCCGAGTCTCCGAAGACAGTGCCAACGCTACCGCCGACCGACGAGGAATCTTGCGGGAGCTGGTTGAAAGACTGCCGCAACAACTTGAATGTTGATGCTTGCATGAGTTACAAGTCGCTCTGTGCAGCCGATGCTGCAAAAGATGCTCTTAAAGGCCTCGCAGGGCCACCTGCTCCCGAGGCTTCAGAGAGCCCAAGTCCAGCAGACGCTCTAAAGGAGGCTCTCAGTGACCCCGGGAGTGTGGGCCAAACCAGCGAGTCGGTGCCCAGCAGTGCCGAGGCGGCTCCATCTCCCTTCGGCCTCCCCGACCAGGAGACCCCTACCGAACTTCCAGCAGATGCCGGAGCTGTCCCTGACATCCAAGAGGATGCAGAGGAGCCTGAGGCGGAGGAAGCGGAGGAAGCGGAGGCGGCGGAGGAAGCAGAGCCCGAAGTTGCAGAACCTGCAGAAGAAGAAGCAGAATCCACCGAAGTTGCGGAGCCCACGGCCGAGGAAGCGGAACCCGTCGTAATTACAGAGCCTGCGGTCGAAGAGGCAGCAGAGCGCGCTGCCGAAGAGGCAGAGTCCAGCGAAGCTTCAGAGCCTGTGGCTGAGGAGGCAGCAGAGACTACGGCCGCGGACGAGGAAGCAGAGCCTAGTGAAGTTGCAGAACCTGCAGCTGAGGAGGAAGCAGAACCCACCGAAGTTGCAGCGCCTGTGGCCGAGGAGGCAGAATCCGGCGAGGTTGCAGAGGAAGCAGAGCCCGAAGTTGTGGAGCCTGCAGCAGAGGAAGCCGAATCCGCTGAAGTTGCAGAGCCTGCGGCCGAGGAGGCAGAATCCAGCGAAGTTGCAGAGCCTGCGGTCGAGGAAGCAGAGCCCAGTGACGCAGCAGAGCCTGCAGCAGAGGAAGCAGAATCCAGCGAAGTTGAAGAGCCGGCAACTGAGGAGGCAGAGCCTACCGAAATTGCAGAACCTGTGGTTGAGGATGCGGAACCCGCCGCAGCGGTCGAGCCTTCCCAGGAAGCCGAGTCCGAAGTTGTGGAGCCTGCAGCCGCCGAGGTGCCGACAGAGGCCTCTGCTTCCGGGACTGTCTCGCCATTCGGTTTCACGGTGGCACGCCACTCCACTACATCAAGCTCGAAAAGGTCCGCCAAAGCAGTGGCGTCCAAGAAGGTGTCATCGACCACGGCCAAGAAGTCAACAAAGAAGTCGACAAAGTCGGTGAAGTCGAAGAAGCCAGGTTGAAATTGCTTAAAGCTTTTCAAAATATCCTAAGATCCTAATGTCTGATGGATGTATCTACTCACCTAGTCACACGCACGCACACCTTTTTTGGGGAGGGAGGGAGGTCTGAAAGCGCAGCTCAGGAAGTCGACAACTTCGACCAAGTCCTTGACATCGAAGACCACCAAGTCTAAGAAGTTGGTCAAAGCCAAGACCCACAGCAAAAGCAGCGAAGGGAGCTCCAAGTTCGTTTTGCCACAGGCGGCCACGGCTGTGACGAACCACCAAGAGGCCGAGATGCCAAAGTTTCTTAAACTCCTTCCTATACTACATCATACTACCTTATCTCATGTTATACTATGTCTTGCTGTATATGTTGTGTAGTCCTTATTCTTATGTTTATTAATTATTGCTGTTCTCATATCATGGTATCGCATATGGCATCATCTCCTAAACCCCTCTGCCTGATGCCAAGGTGGGCGTGCCGAGCACGACCTTCGAGTTGAGCCGCCTGGATGCTTTGGGCGCCGGCGCGGGCACCTTGGGCCTGGCCCAAAAGCAAGGCCCAGGATTCAACATGTCGTATATATGTACATGTATGCGACTCGCAACAGTCACCGCAGGGTAGGGTTGAGAAAAAACAAATATGTACATGTATATATATATATATACCGTAGAATAGCATATCATATCAGGTAAGATTAGACAAGATAATATTCTATGAAAATGGGGGGTGTGTGTGTATGTATATGTATGTATATGTATATATATATATATATATATATATTCATGAGGGCTCGGAATCGCTGACACAGGTATTCCGGTTGCAGGTTTGGAGGGTTTGGGGTTTCCTACAGGTCAGAGGTTTATCCAACTCGAAAGGGTGTTTAGAAAATGGGTCTCTTTTGGCTGTTTTTTGGCCAAGCGTACAGGTGGTATGGTGTTATATGGTCACTGTTGAGATCGTGCTTACGTGGTTTTTGTTGGCTGTGTTCTACAGGCCCGAGGCTTTCATCTTCAGATTATGCTCTGGGCCTCTTTTGTTGGAGAGCGGTGTTTGAGGTTTTGGGCTTCGGGATTTGCGGGTTTTTGCGGGTGAAGGCTTGGCGGGATGTCTATGCCTATGCAGACGCCTCACAAGAACATGCGACGCCAGGTGACACCCAGGACTTCGAGACTGCGAGGTCCAACATGTGTTCCTGGTGGCTCCAGGTGTGTGGCAAGGTGGGAGGGTTTCGAGAATCTTCGACATGTAGGGTCTAGAGTCTAGTATATGAGAAAGCTGAAGAGCCGGGCCCAGCAGGGCTGTGCTTAGAGATTCGGGCTTCCCCAAAACAGAGGCAAAGGTAGATATGTGGACGTGAGCCGAAGCACTACCCCAAACAACCCCGATCCGTCCCTGCTTTGACCGACTGCGCACGTCGAAGCCGTAAACCCTTAGCTAGGCAGGAGGCGAAATTCATCGAAGCCCTCCACCTCTTGTCCGAGTGTGAGAGTCGAAAACCAAATCGAGCAACTGGACAACCGGAAACCCTAAGGCCCTAAGCCCTGAACCTGCGGCAACCAGGCAGGGAGTCGAGTCAATTTTGCCTGCATCAGTGTGGGAGTTCTCCGTCAAACCTGAGCAAACAAGAACCCGAAGATGCAGGAGTCCGACCGCCTAAGGCAAGGCCAGCCCGAGCACACAAGAAGAACAAGACACAGGAGTCCGACCGCATGAAGCAAGGCAAACTTGAGCAAGCAAGAAACACAAAACACAGGAGCCCGAGCGCATGAAGCAAGGCAAACTTGAGCAAGCAAGAAACACAAGACACAGGAGCCCGACCGCATGAAGCAAGGCAAACTTGAGCAAGCAAGAAACATAAGACACAGGAGTCGCGCCGCATGAAGCGAAGACTTAGAACTTGCTGAGCCCAGCTTAGAATCGATGCGCAAAGTGAGGTGCACGATAGATCTGACCGTCTCCTTTTTGTATCAGTGTCCTCCATCTGACGTGTATATTGTATATAAGATGCATGTATATGTAGATGTGTATTTGTTTCTGATGCCACTCATCTTACGCCCTTCGAGCAGGGCTTTGTTATTGAGCGAAGGTCGCCAAAGCAAGCGTGTGCGACAAGTATGCCAGCCTCTGCCGATGACTTTCCGCCGCGAAGTTGAGGGGCTTAGGTTAGGCTTAGGTTAGGTGAGACATAGTACTTAGTACTTTCTGCACAAGTTTTGAGCATCTATTCAGATGGATGACGATTCTTTTAACTCCGTAGGCTCGAGCTGTGCCGAGTCGGTTAGTGAGGCTTGTTCTCCATATGGAGGCATTCCTCAAACTGGGGACCCGGAATCCAAGATTGCAAAAAGCGTCACTTAACTGGATACCTGATAGCGGATCCTCCGCATTTCGAACATCCAGATACATCTTTCCAGGCCCTTGTTTCTGCTGTCTGTCACTTAGGCATTTCCACGAAGTCAAAGACTGCGTGGTTCCATGGACAGCAGAGGGATGCACAGATGCAGCCCACGAGTTCAAAATCATCCTGGCATGCACCACCCATTGCTACATCGTACTTGACTTTTCCGAGTTTCCTTTGCTTGCAGATCTGGCTTAGAAGGTGAGGCTTGCTGTTGCCCTGCCTGCACGCTTCTAGACGAGGCTTGCACGGCTGATACAGCATCAGCACCAAACCCTTGTCCGCTTCCCAGATCTTCCCAGTGAAGATTACGATTGGGCTTCGGGGTACGGCTGAAAAGGGGGTGCCTCTTTCATCAACGGCGTCCACGCCTTCTTCAGCATCACCATCACAAGCATCACCAGGGGGCGTTCTCAGTGGTTGAGGAAGCAAGGTTTCTCCTCGAAAATTGCACACATGCGTCTGCACCAACTCCTCAGTTCAGCTCAAGCTCTACCAAGGCTCACGAGTCCGGAGTGGTGGTGAGACCATCAGGACTCCTTCTTGTTTTTGTTGTTCATGGGGCTGTCGATCTGGGGGTGCTGGTACCTTTTACCTTGGCATGGGGTGTCTGGGCGTTAGGAATTCTCTGGCTCCCAGGTTGGAGGGTTTAGGGTGAGACCTAGTTCAAAAAGAAAAGACTTCGAGTTGGCAGAATCCTTGAGGACTGCAGTTTTCGTCGATCTTTGACCGGACTTACAGGTAGGCCTGTTAAAAGTAAGCCGTAAACCCGGCACCCGGTCATCTAGGCGGGCGGCAAGAAAGCCTAAAACACCAAGACCCTAACGTCCTTGCTAAGTAGGAGGGGAATAAAACACGCAGACACGCGCACAGCGAGAAGAGTCCAACACCGTAGAACCGTGAAGCGCCAACACTGCATGCCCGAGAGTGAGTGCCGAAAGTCCATGCAACGGGAAGGCTTCTGAGCTTTAGTAATTCCTGGAGAGGTGGACGGTGGTGCTTATGGAGTTATGTACACTAAGGAGAAGTGGGCGTATAAAATGGGACCCAAACAGTCCCTAAGTAGCAGGGTCCTCAGTAGACGGCCCGATTCGGCTTGAGGGGTTCTTGAGCCTCTGCAAGTCGTGCACGGGGCTTTCCCGTTTAGTCTGTGACCCTAACCCCGAAACCTCCCCCTCCCCACCTCCCCCCCCCCACAAAAGCAAAGTCGTCCCAACAAAAACTCCTCTCTTCCATCAGGAAGTCGGCCCTCTAGTCACCGTGGGGCTGAGGCATCCCCATCTTCATCCAGGCACCTGGGAGTTCCAAAAGGACGGGACCCTAATGACTCAAGATGTTCGAGACCCCTTGCATAAATGGTCGTAAGAGCGGGTGGCACTTCATGCTTCTACCGTACTTGAGCCACGTCCTTAGCCTGCGAAGTCTGCATGTTCTGCCTACGTCGTAAGTACTTGTCTTATCAGTGGAGACTGCATGCAAGGTTGGCGCCTGAAAGTCTACCCCGGGCAATTGATGGGAACGATGCGCAATTGCACTTGGGAACTGGCAACAAGCCTCCCATCGAGAAAGCCATCCGGAAAGTGTGACCTTTCGAGGAAGCCCGTTGAATCCCAAATCCACGCCCAGGGAGTCTGCATGAAGCACGTCTTCACGACAGTTCGACCTGAGGTTGTTTGATGTTCTCTGCATCTCCCTACACGCGCACGTGCCTACATACACATCCCAACCCTATGCATCGAGTGTCTTGTTGATCCAGTATCGTTGCAGACCTTGCCAGGCTTTGTCCTAGTGCGGGTGTCAAAAATCCCTGGCTTGTCCTAGTTGTGGGTTTTGAAACCTTTTGTTTTCACACACACATGCATACATATTTTTTGTTATACGTGGCACGTGCTTTAACTCTGACAGGTCTGGCTTCTCCGGCTTCTCCAGCAACAGCGCTCCCGCCGGTGCTTCAGAGATCCCTTGCTTTCGAGGAACGGTTGTGAGGTGTTGAAGGTGTTTGGTTGTTTGAGGTTTTTTCGGAGGCGGCATGGCCCATGTCTATGATGTCAATACTTTTCAATCCTATGGTGGCGCCGAATGTCGCTGGACGTGTCTCTATGGTAGTGCCTTTGCGTGAAGCTCATGTGCTGGGATATGCCTACGGCACGCAACCACGATCCGGTTGTGGCCGGCAAGACACAAAAGCCTTCGTGACATTCGAGCCGTGGTGACGATATTCGGTGTCCAGACAGGGATTGGTGCATCATCCGGCACCATTCAAGCTGAACATAGTTGCTTGCGAAAACTTGATTTGTCAAATCTTCGGAAGATAACGCGTTCCAGCTGATCTGTGGACATGAGGTGGCGGCCCTCTTTGCTTCCACTTTGGGGCATGCTCAAGTTTATGGACGAAGAACAAGTTCGAAGCGGTGGCCTGTTTGCTTCCCGCTAAGCTGTCGAGGAGATCGCGCTGGTCTGCAGATATGAGGTGTTGGCCCCTCTTTGGCGGCCCCTTCGTGGATGCTTTTCAGTTGATGTGGAGGGTTGTACGCGAAGTTCGGAAACCCATGCCTGTCGGCGTCGTTGACTCTTTGGAGGATGGCGAGCTCTCTTTTGCACAGACTTGCTGGTCTGCCTGCTGCACAGTTGTCCGAATTTGTTTGGCATGTGTACAGTTCGATCAGAGGACTTGATGGTGAGCCGATTCGACGACTGGAGCTTTCTGGCTACGTCGGTAACCCGTTCACCTCTCCGAGGACGTTTATTTATTTGTTCGAGTTGGCGAACTGCCTGTTCGCCGTGGCGCCTGTCAGTTACACAAATGACAATCGACTTGATGATGGATCATTTCGCAAGATCGCTTGGAGGCCTTAGTAGCAACATCTCCTTCAAGTGCTTCGGCTTCCACGGCCGCCTTCGGGTGGTGTCGCCAGCAACAGACATGGACAGAAGAGTCTGAAAGTGATTATCGTTCGGGGGAGGTCTACGAAGCTGAATGAATGGGTGAGTGTGTCTACTGCCGCCGTTTATATTGAGCATGCCTGCGTTTCTCTATGTTTGGTTGTTATGTATATAGTAAAAGCCTTCATTGCGGCCGCACGGGGGGGCGAATTAAAGTCGTCCGCGCCACTCGCTCCACTCGCGCCACTCGCTCAGTTCAAGGAAAGATTGGAACAGGTAATGTACAGGGGCGACTGGAGCGAGTGGCACGAATGGAACACGCTTCTAGCGGAACGACCGGTGCGATTGGAACGGTCGGAGTAGTGGAGTAGCTGGCCCTTAAATTATAAAGACCCGACTTTCAACATCCCAAAACTTCGTCCGCGCCACTCGCGCCACTCGCGCCACTCGCTCCACTCGCGCCACTCGCTCAGTTAAAGGAAAGAGTGGAACAGGTAACGTACAGGGGCGACTGGAGCGAGTGGCACGAGTGGAACACGCTTCTAGTGGAACGACTGGCACGATTGGAACGGTCGGAGTAGTGGAGTAGCTGGCCTTTAGATTACAGACCCGACTCTCAACATCCCAAAACTTCGTCCGCGCCACTCGCGCCACTCGCGCCACTCGCTCCACTCCCACTCGCTCTAATCAGTGGAACAGGTAACGAGTGGAGCGAGTGGAGCGAGTGGAGCGAGTGGAGCGAGCGGAGCGAGTGGAGCGAGTGGAACAGACGGATTAGCGCCCCCCAATGCCTGCAAAAAGGCGTTTACAACCGATCTTGTTCGACATCTAAACCTCCAAGCACAAGTGCTTACCTCGATGCTGTTCGACATCTATGCCTCAAAGCGAGCGTTTACCCCGATCTTGTTCGACATCGATGCCTCAAAGCAAGCGTTTACCCCAATCTTGTTCGACATCTATGCCACAAAGCACGAGTGTTTACCCCGATCCTGTTCGACATCTATGCCTTAAAAAAAGCGATTACCCCGATCCTGTTCGACATCTATGCCTCAAAGCACGAGTGTTTACCCCGATCCTGTTCGACATCTATGCCTTAACAAAAGCGATTACCCCGACCCTGTTCGACATCTATGCATCAAAGCAAGCGTCCACGCCGATCTTGTTCGACATCTATGCTTCAAAGCACAAGCGTTTACCCCGATCTTGTTCGACATCCATGCCTCAACTCAAGTGCTTACCTTACCCCGATCTTGTTCGCATCTATGCCCCAAAGCAAGCGTTACAGTACCCCGATCTTGTTCGAAATCTGAGCCTCAAAAGCACAAGTGTTTACCCCGATCCTGTTCGACGCTTATGCCTCAAAGCAAGCGTTTTAAGTGTCGGCGTAGATGCCGAACAGGACCGGGGTAAACACTCGCTTTGAGGCATAGATTCGGCATAGATGTCGAACAAGATCGGGGTAAACGCTGGCTTTGAAGCATGGATGTCGAACAGGATCGGGGTAAGTGATGTCGAACAAGATTGGAGCAAACACCCGTGCTTTGATAGGTGTCGAACAGGATCGGGGTAGGCACTTGTGCTTTGAGGCATAGATGTCGAACGAGGTCCGGTAAGACGTCGAACAAGATCGGGGTAAATGCTTGCTTTGAGGCATAGATGTCGGGCAGGATCGGGGTAAACAATTTTTTTTGAGGCATAGATGTTGAATAAGATCGGGAAAAACACTTGTGCTTTGCGGATCTTTGCGGCACAGATGTCGAACAGGATCGGGGTAAACGCCTGCTTTGAGGCATAGATGTCGAACAAATTCGGTGTAAACGTTGTGTTTTGAGGCATAGATGCTGAGCAGGATCGGGATAAACACTTGTGCTTTGAGGCATAGATGTCGAACAGGATCGGGGTAAAAGCCTGCTTTCAAGCATAGATATCGAACAAGATCGGGGTACACGCGTGCTTTGAAGCATAGAAGACGAACAAGATCGGGGTAAACGCGTGCTGTGAAGCATAATGAGATGTCGAGCAAGATCGGGGTAAGGTGAACGCTCGAGTTGAGGCATAGATGTCGAACAGGATCGAGGTAAACGCTTGTGCTTTGAGGCATAGATGTCGAACAAGATCGGGGTAAACGCTTGCTTTAAGGCATAGATGTCGAACAGGATCG